TTGGGTTATAGCGGACGATCCGGATGCTGCTAGTGTATTGACGTGGCTTGGCGACAGTAAAAATAAATTCGACATCATCAATGGTTTGATTTGCTCTCATAATGTGTTTTTTTTTGCCTTATCCCGAAAGCGATTTTAGTTATCCCTAATTTATTTCTTAATTTTTTGATGCACTAGTAAATTACTTTTTTAGTTAAAAATTTTAGTAAAGTTCAGGAACAGCTTCCGTATTTAAGCGGTAAAGACGATGATGCTTTCCAGATTTCTCTGGCAGCAGCGAAGAAACACGAACTGCACATATTGTTGAAGATGTCAATCGTAATGACGACCACACTTATAATGTTATTAGCAACGTAAGGTATGTGTACGCTGAACATGGCTTGATCCCCTTTTTGGGCTGAGATTTTTGTCTCAGCTTCTTTGCCCCCGTTGTTCCTGAGTTCAACGTTTCAACCAGTCAGCAATATGCATGCACACAAAAAGTGGCCCCTCCATCATGTGTTTTTAAAAACAAATTAATTTAAGCAGAAATACACAAAAAGATCAAAAGGCACTAAGCAGGTGCTAAAATAAAAATACTGTTTCTGGTCAACATGCATACTGCAAATTATGTTAACACAGACCTTTCATTCTGTGAAATCCTTCACTCAGAAGTCGTATCTCAAAGGGGTCAAAAGCTTTCTGGCCAATAAAAGTGAAAAAAAAACTGACGCATACTGTCCAAAGTGACTTATTTTTTATTTTTTTTTTTCGCAGTTTTTTGGTCAACACAGTATCAGCATATAGGTTATAGCAAAGTCGAGTGTAATGACACTCTGGTGGAAGTAAATCGTTTTTCTGATTTGTGACTCTAACAATTTTGGGCACAATTATGGGCTCGTGACTGGGAGTTTAAAGAGCTTTTTTTTGTTTCAAAACGAAAAGAAATGTGGATAACAGCTTTTTCTTTATGTAGTCAGGAGCTCAAAAATTTCCAAGGGCATGGAAGTCTGGGCAAATTTTTCAAAAAAAGAAAAATCATTTGGGACTGCAAAAACGCGCCATGGAAGACGCTACGTGAAAAATTTTTGTTCTTTTT